CCTACAAATAAGTTCTGCTGGAATGGAAGTAACATGAACACATTCAAGCTTTGGCTCAATAAATATCAAATGTTATTTAATTTAGATTATTTAAAGAATACTCATGTAAAGAGAATATTTATTATCATGCTCTTAACATTATCTTTAATTTGTTTTAAAAAATAGAAATATTAGTATTAGAAGAGAATTTCTGCTTGTCCAGTCACCATCTTCGCATTCCACATGTTCTTTTGCCAAGCACAAAGAGAAGCAATGAAGCAGCCTTACCTCTTTCTTATTAAAGAATCACGAATGCTTTTACTTGGAAAAAGGCAAAGGAATACTCTTAGCCATTTAGAAACACTCAACCAAAAGACCTCAAAATGTGATTGTCTGGTTACAAGAATAATCTGTCTTTTGCTTTCTGAGACACCTGAGCAGTCATGACAAATTGAACCTAGAAAAATAATTGGTTGTTTTACTATTAAAACCAACATTCCATTCTGGTCTTATTCTTTATTTTCTCTAAATCATCTTTTCTTTAAAGTACCCTTTCTCTAAACTTAACAAAATACTTCTTTGATAAAACTGCTATTTTTTATAAAACATACCAGTTTTCTCAACATAAATTTTGCTTTATTGAAAGTCTACCAATGAAATGTAGTGCAGGCTTATCTCCAGGTTTTAAGTGGGACCCAATAATGAAAAATGCCACCAGCCACTTTTGTAATAATGGCATCTATAATGCCATCATGTATGCAAGCAATAAAACTCTACAGGGTAGGTTTTACACTGAACTTTTAATGTGAATGTTCCTAGCCACAAGGATATAGAAAATTAACTCCTAGGAGTGATACTGTGATTCAAATTGCTCAGTATAGGGAAAAGAACGCATGTGTGGTGGCGGGTGGGGTGGGGGAGGGACAACATTATTCCTTGGATTCAAGTAACCATCAAAATCCTTTTTATTTTACTTTAAATGTTTTTAAAGCCTTTTTTTTTTTTTTTTTTTTTTTGCAAAGGGTATGTATGGGTGGTTAAAAACAGTTAAAGCACATCTGTACTACACATTTCATTTTCCGTGAAGTTTAATATAGCTTGGTGTACTTATATTCACTGGGTAAGCTACCCAAATTAAAACAACAACAACAGTTTTTTTAAATTACCACACTTTTTATTGTCTTCTTTGTGGAAACAGGAAACAGAGCTAAATTCCCCTTTAAATTTGAGATCTCATTTCTGGTTATACTCAAAGCCTTAAGTTCTTATTCTGAGCATATGTAATAATGATCTTTCTGAGCTGGATATATCCTGAGGAAAAGACACCAACAGGAGCAAATAAACTTCTAGGGAACAAAGGTATTTTTTTCTTTTTTCTTTTTTTTTTTTTTCCATGTATCCTTGCTATAATGCACAGTAGAAAATACATTAAATTTTTCTACATCACATAATGTTCCTGTTAGCGGGTCTAAGATTAATCACATGGTATTTATAAGCTAAAATTAATTCAAAAGGCAAGAATGTCATAATGTCTTCATTCTTAACTTTTGTATTCTTCAAGAATATATTAATATAAAATCTGTGGCTAACCTGTTCTTAGGACTATACTGGACATCTGTAGTGGATCATGTTACTTTTTCATTCTCATCCAATTTTAGTAAAATCAAATTGCTTTTTATTTTCATATTACTATGTACTATAGAGTCTCCAGATTTAGAAAATAGGAGTATGATGTATAAAAGACCACTAGATATACTTTTAAAACCCTTTCTATGAATTTATGCATATATGTATATATGTAAAAGCAATGTTGATTTCCAATTCTGTTTTTCCATAGGAATGAAATTTTTATAGAAAGTATTCTTTTTAACTTAAATATTTTAACATAAATTATATACATGGATTTTTTTAGTATAATTCATTCTTATGTATGCCCTGTAATCATGTTGTCATGAAAGGGTAACTTTGCTTTCTTTACTGATGTGGTAGAGAGGAATAAGATTAGGAACTGAAACAAGCAAGAACAGATAGAGAGGTGGACAGAAAGAGTCCCTTGGACTCCAAATCAGAGCAATATATGCTAAGATAAATGAAAAACACTTAAACTGCAGACGGATATAAACTACAAGATGTAAATCTATGTAATTGCACACTGATGGGATCCATTACACCTGGGCCTTTCACCTTGCCCTCTAAATTATACCACTAGTATCTTGTCATTACTTTTTCTTTAGACCTAAAAAAAAGAATTAATTCTATTGGACTATTTTCTGCACTGTTTACTGACATAAAAAATCCCTCTAAAGTCAATCATGGTCTGTATTCTACTTCCTGGACTGAACATTTGGCAGAAAATAGTGTCTTTTCTGTCTTTTGAGATGAAATAGCACATGGCTTCTACAAGATAGTTTTTAACTCATTGGGGGTCACTGAGAGTTACATGATGTTTACCCCTTCCTAAAATTCATTATAGATTGAACTAGTGAGATTAGGTAGATTTAGTGAGAAATTAATTCAAGAAATATTGTAGCATATTTGAATAAGTAAATACCGAATACATAGAGTGATATATATATATATATATATATATATATATATATATATATATATATATATATATATATATATGTGTGG